TTTTTTGCCACCTAAGGAGTCTATATATGATACAGCAGTAGTGTTATCAATCATGATTAAAATGCATACATCTTTCATTGTTTTACAAAAAGAAAATAATACATATTTTGCTGCCATTAACTCTAAATAATTTATGTGATTCAAAGTTTCATCAGGTAACCAGTTTCCACCTGTTACATTGCCATTTGGGTCAACTCCTCCCCATCCTTTCAATGAAGCATCAGATTTTAAAATATAACTTGGGTTCTCAACTAACAAAGATTTATTTACTGTTAAAATATTGTTAACCCACCATTGTATATCAGATATACATTCAGAATTTAAATAAATGTTATGATCAAATTCACCATTGAATTTACTTAGTAAAGAGCTTTTTAATATACCACAACGTCTATAATATATTTCGCCGTACTGAACTCCAGGAAGAGAAGCAACCATTTGGCCAATTACACAAGCAAACAGTCTTAATGTTATAAATTTTGATGACAAAATGTCTAGACAAGCTTCTTTTAGCTTATGAGCTCTTTCTTCAGTTAAACGAATAGTCATACTGGAAGAATTCAGAATGACACCTAAATAAGTGATCTCCTGTACAGGATCTAAAATGGATTTTTCTGGATGAACCACAAAACCAGCTTTTAATGAAAACAGTACAGTATCTCTGATATTGTTTCTTCAATCTTCAATGTCATCCCCAATTAACAGACTGTCATCTATAAAGTTTGTATTCAAATGGCCCAACTTTCTTAGTTGAGAGAAAAATACATTTGTCAGTTTTGTGAATATACGAGGAGCTGGTGCATAGCCATTAGGCAAACAACAGTACTGATACAATGTCCCCTTCCAGACAAACCGGAGATATTTTCTATAAGATAGACAGAGCATGATAAGCATTCGACCAATCAATTGATGCCATGTAACAATTTTTTGTAATTAAATTTATAGCATGTGATAATGTATCCATCTTAAAATGATGATAATCAAGATTTTCATTGAATTCTTTAAGATCAAGAATTACCCTGAGTGATCCATTTTTCTTATCTCTTGTGAAAATATTTGATATATATTGGCCTTCTTCAGGACTTGCCCTTTCAATGATTTGTTTTAATAATAATTTTTTAATTTCATCTGACACTGCAGCATTCTTTTCCTTAGACAATATATATGGAATGGGTATCATGCTCTGATTTTCAAATTTATCTCCATATCAATGCCGCACACTATTTTAAGTATGTGAACATCGCTTCCAAACGAAATTTTAATTCGCCAGCAGTAAAATTGTTCATCAATTTTAGTAACTTTTCATCTAACTGACTGCGAAACTCTTCCCAAGAAGTTAGAGATTCTAAATTACTCACCGATTCAAACAAATCTATTTTTTCTCTGACTGATTTTTCTTGTTCTGATTGTAACTGCTTCTCTGATGAGAACTGTACTTCTTGTTCGAGAACCTGTACTGACTTTGATTTTGTGGAGGTCGCTTGTAGTGACTGTTGCCTTGTGATAAAAAAGGCTTGGATCTAGAATTAAATCTTGAAACGCTTTTATATAGACGGCTTCCACTGGCCACTGATGAACCAACTTGATTTGTTTCTTTTATGTCTTTTACACGTTTACCAAGTTCATCACCAAACAACCATTTACTTGATCCAGTATCAGTATTATGAGAAGGATTGCACAATTTTTTATATTGTAGATTTAAGTCTACCTTTAAACTATCACGTCTAATCTGATTATGATCCTGCACTATATGGCCAAGTAATGAAAGAGCATCCATTCCAGTCTTAATCCCAGAAGACAGACTACTGTCTTTATCATCTGACTTTTTGTCCTGTTTCTTAGATTTTAATAACAGTTCTACTAAGCTCATAACAGCATATGAACATTTTATCAATTTTTCACTCAATTTGAAAGAGTCAATGTCTTTGAATTGGGTTTCCTTTTTCAGATGCCCCCAAATTTCTGTATTGATCTTTTGAGGATATAATTCAATATTCCCTGGTCTCAGGTATTTTTCCATTATTCCTTTTGACCGATCATCAGCTTGCTTAGTATTAAACATGTGTTTAATTATGTCAGCAACTTTTGCTGGCAAAACATTGCCAACTTTATTCCATTTTAAAGTCAGCAAAAGTTTGACTGTTATCTTTTGAAAAACTTGCAGTTTCGATGATTGCATCATCTTTATTTTTGGATGAGGACGGTCGATTTCTTGCCGCCATTTCACTCGGACTGCATGTGACCTTTTCTAAATTTTCACCAGTTGCAGTTGATTTTAAAACTATCAGTCCCTTTTACAGACTTTCTGCTTTTATCTTTTTCAAAAATTATACTAGGGAGATCAAAAGTTGACTTGCTGGCCGAAGTAGAAGTTAAACTTTTCTTCGTAGAATCCGCCATTTTCTCGAATCTCAAGAAAATGCTTTAAAAAAAAAAAAAAAAAAAAAAAAGAAAAAAAATTGTCGATTAACGACAGATAGTGCTATATCGTAGCAACTTAAATTAATAAAATGATGGCCTCACTAGATTTCAACTAAACCACAGGTCATAGGCCTAAGTCGAATTTCTCAGAATATTTAGAAAATTAGAGATCGACTATTGAGAGGTGCTTTCACCTCGATGGTTAGACACACTAATGATGGTTTTAGGCGCGCGCATCTCACATGAACTCGAAATGACGTCATACAGTAAGACAGAATTAGATTCCAAGGACATGGAGTATCACTTAAAAGCTAATTAAAAACAATTAGGGAAAAAAATTAATATTTTTTTGTTACAAGGGGCGACTGCACGAGAAGCGCTCAGATCCAAATAAATTTTTATTTTAAAAAGTTACAAAGCTACAAAGCTGAAATTTTGCACGCATATACACATGGGCAAGCTAGACATTTAGAAAAAAACCGAGCTAAAAAATCTCCCATAGTAAAAAGTTAGCCCAGGAAAAGTTGCTTATTATCTGCTCTTTTAAGCCATACCAAGGGTGAAGGTCCGATACCTAACTTTGCGAAATACGTCCATTTGGCCCATGTTTGGGACTTTTCCTTCTAATTAGGGCCCAGGCACATGGTATATCACTTAAAAGCTAATTAAAAACAATTAGTGCAAAAAATGGATATTTTTTTCTTACAAGGGACGACTGCACGAGAAGCGCTCAAATACAAATAAATTTTTATTTTAAAAAGTTATAAAGCTACAAAGCTGAAATTTTGCACGCATATGCACATTCGCAAGGTAGACATTTAGAAAAAAACCCAGCTCAAAAATCTCCCATAGGAAAAAAGTTAGCCCAGGAAAAGTTGCTTATTATCTGCTCTTTTAAGCCATACCAAGGGTGAAGGTCCGATACCTAACTTTGCGAAATACGCCGATTTGGCCCATGTTTGGGACTTTTCCTTCTAATTAGGACCTAGGCACATGATATATATCTTAAAAGCTAATTAAAAACAATTAGGGCAAAAAATGGATATTTTTTTCTTACAAGGGACGACTGCACGAGAAGCGCTCAAAACCAAATAAATTTTTATTTTAAAAAGTTACAAAGCTACAAAGCTGAAATTTTGCACGCATATGCACATGGGCATGCTAGACATTTAGAAAAAAAACCAGCTCAAAAATCTCCCATAGGAAAAAAGTTAGCCCAGGAAAAGTTGCTTATTATCTGCTCTTTTGAGCCATACCAAGGGTGAAGGTCCGATACCTAACTTTGCCAAATACGCCGATTTGGCCCATGTTTGGGACTTTTCCTTCTAATTAGGGCCCAGGCACATGGTATATCACTTAAAAGCTAATTAAAAACAATTAGGGCAAAAAGTGGATATTTTTTTCTTACATGGGACGACTGCAGGAGAAGCGCTCAAATCCAAATAAATTTTTATTTTAAATAGTTACAAAGCTATAAAGCTGAAATTTTCCACGCATTTGCACATGGGCAAGCTAGACATTTAGAAAAAAACCCAGCTCAAAAATCTCCCATAGGAAAAAAGTTAGCCCAGGAAAAGTTGCTTATTATCTGCTCTTTTAAGCCATACCAAGGGTGAAAGTCCGATACCTAACTTTGCCAAATACGCCGATTTGGCCCATATTTGGGACTTTTCCTTCTAATTAGGGCCAAGGCACATGGTATATCACTTAAAAGCTAATTACACTGATTAGGGCAAAAAATGTATATGTTTTTCTTACAAGGGACGACTGCAAGAGAAGCGCTCAAATACAAATAAATTTTTATTTTAAATAGTTACAAAGCTATTAAGCTGATATTTTCCACGCTTATGCACATGGGCAAGCTAGACATTTAGAAAAAAACCCAGCTCAAAAATCTCCCATAGGAAAAAAGTTAGCCCAGGAAAAGTTGCTTATTATCTGCTCTTTTAAGCCATACCAAGGTTGAAGGTCCGATACCTAACTTTGCCAAATACGCCGATTTGGCCCATGTTTGGGACTTTTCCTTCTAATTAGGGCCCAGGCACATGGTATATCACTTAAAAGCTAATTAAAAACAATTAGGGCAAAAAATGGATATTTTTTTCTTACAAGGGACGACTGCACGAAAAGCGCTCAAATGCAAATAAATTTTTATTTTAAAAAGTTACAAAGCTACAAAGCTGAAATTTTGCACGCATATGCACATGGGCTAGCTAGACATTTAGAAAAAACCCAGCTCAAAAATCTCCCATAGGAAAAAAGTTAGCCCAGGAAAAGTTGCTTATTATCTGCTCTTTTAAGCCATACCAAGGGTGAAGGTCCGATACCTAACTTTGCGAAATACGCCGATNTGGCCCATGTTTGGGACTTTTCCTTCTAATTAGGGCCCAGGCACATGGTATATCACTTAAAAGCTAATTAAAAACAATTAGGGCAAAAAATGGATATTTTTTTCTTCCAAGGGACGACTGCACGAGAAGCGCTCAAATCCAAATAAATTTTTATTTTAAAAAGTTACAAAGCTACAAAGCTGAAATTTTGCACGCATATACACATGGGCAAGCTAGACATTTAGAAAAAAACCCAGCTCAAAAATCTCCCATAGGAAAAAAGTTAGCCCAGGAAAAGTTGCTTATTATCTGCTCTTTTAAGCCATACCAAGGGTGAAGGTCCGATACCTAACTTTGCGAAATACGCCGATTTGGCCCATGTTTGGGACTTTTCCTTCTAATTAGGGCCCAGGCTCATGGTATATCACTTAAAAGCTAATTAAAAACAATTAGGGCAAAAAATGGATATTTTTTTCTTCCAAGGGACGACTGCACGAGAAGCGCTCAAATCCAAATAAATTTTTATTTTAAAAAGTTACAAAGCTACAAAGCTGAAATTTTGCACGCATATACACATGGGCAAGCTAGACATTTAGAAAAAAACCCAGCTCAAAAATCTCCCATAGGAAAAAAGTTAGCCCAGGAAAAGTTGCTTATTATCTGCTCTTTTAAGCCATACCAAGGGTGAAGGTCCGATACCTAACTTTGCGAAATACGCCGATTTGGCCCATGTTTGGGACTTTTCCTTCTAATTAGGGCCCAGGCACATGGTATATCACTTAAAAGCTAATAAA